AAAAATATATTGTACAATACATACGGTACAGTATAGCATAGGAAAGTATAGGACATTAATATAATATAACATCTCTTTTTAAAGTATTATCTATGCCATTTGATAGACAATATTGAGTCTCATCTTGTAGCTTGAATCATTTCAGAAGCATTTGTGCCTCAATTACACTTCATATTCTTTTATACTGTTTTTAATGAATATTGTTAGCTGAATAAACCCTTACACCTACTGTAGGAGATGGAGTTGAACAAACCTTTAATCATAAGCATGTTCTATTATGAGTCTTCTTTTTTTTAATTAATAAAAAATATATATATATTTTAAAGTAAAAAAAAATTGTGAAAATCTGTGTTATTTTTGTATTATTTATATATTATTATGGTATTTATTAATATTTGGAATTACATTTTATTTTTAAATGTCAAGTTTTCATTTTAAATTTTTTTAGAAATGTAATAGTTTTTAGAAATTTTGTGTGTGCTTTTGTCATTTTTTATTAGTTGTTCTTTTTTGTATTTACCTTTAATTTATTTTAGCTTTAGTTTAAGTACTTCAATTTTATTTTATTTTAATTAGTTGCCAAGGCAACAATTCTCATTTTTCTAAAGTTTTTAAAGTTTCAGTTTTTCATCTAATATTTATATTTTATATTACTTCAGCATTATTTCAGTAGTAATAGTTAACAATAACAACACTGTTTGAAAATATCCCTTTGACTTACATTGAAGGGAAGCAGTCGATATCTTTTAATTTGAACTACAGTAGTAAGTAACTAGCTAGCAACATCATAGCAATTGCATAGCAACCTGTTAAAAACCACATAGAAACACTCTAGTACCGAGTTTCACATGAGCAAGTACCACTCATGTTGCCATTTGATACTGTGGTTGTACAATGTACATTTAGTCCCTACCCCATTTTTAATTGTAAAGTAATGGTGATTTGATAAAAGATTACTACTTTAACTCACTAGTTCTGGGTGGTTGGTGAGCCCACAGTGTTTACAAGCATCTTCAGGTGGAATCTCGTTGGATTGGTCCGATTCGGTCTCACTTTTGTCGTCTCCTTTCTCTGATTTGTTGTCTTCATTATTTGCGGCTTTGTCGTCGGCCACTTCCTCTTCCCGCTCCAGAGCTGCTTTGGATTTGCAATTCTTCGTACGAATTTTCGACCAACGATTCCGCCTATGTCGCCGTTTGGCCTAAAAGGGTCAAAACAATATTTTGCGCAAATAAAAACATTCTGTAAAATTTGTTGGACTGGATATAATAAGCTTCCACGCTACCTTAAAAGACTTGGGCTGTACTTCCGTGTCCACTTTTCTGTGCATCTCCTTCTTGGGATGAACTTTCGCCTCTTCGTCTTCTATGTGTTCCTCTTCGTCCTGAGCTGCTGAGGAGGCCAAAAGTTTCCCGTCTTGTTTACTCTCCCGACTATCTGCCACTTTGGGGCTGGGCTTGCAGTTTCTGGCAGATCTCCGCAGGGATCTCCGATTGCTGGTTTCCGACTCCTCTGCGTCCTTGTGCTGGAGTTCAGGCGTTCGTCTATGAAGCGGTATCTTAATCTTAAGGCGAATCCCTTCCTTCTGAAGTTCTGACGATACCTCTTCGTCCTCGTTGTGTCCAGCTTTTTCAGCATCCTTTTCCAAAACCTCACCCATGCTGGATTCATTCTGCCCGTCTTCTCTTGCTTGCATCTTGGATTTGGACTTTTGTGAATGTCTCTTTCTTGGGCCTCTCAGACTTTTGTCTTTGCTGACATCCTCAACATCAGTTTTTTCTCCGGCTGACAAACCAACTGTCTTGCTTTTGAGCTCAATAACGTCTTCATCATTGCCGACTTTTTCAACCTTTTCCTCAACTGAAGTGGTCTCTTCAATCGTTGACGACTCCTCAACAAGGTTTGACACTTTCGCAGACACATCTGTGCTCTTATCGCAAGCATCTTTTGACAAATCCTCAGGGATACTACAAGGAAGAGGACCGTTGTCTGCTTGAACCATGGATTTCCCAACAAGGACAGACTGTCTTACACTATCTGTGCCTCCAACTTCAGTCTTCAAGACTTTCCCATTCCCATGATGACCATTTGAAGAATTATCGTTTTCATTCAATGGCCTTTTACGCTCAATGGGACCTTTGATAACTCCAACACCTACATATTGTTCTCGTGCTGCCATTTGGTCAACCTTTGGCTCTTGTGGGACAGCGATGATGGCCGTTGGTCCTTTCTCTTCATTAGTTGGGTATTCTTTTCTGATTTTCTGTTCCTTCAATAGCAAGACAACAGGATTGCGAACGATTATACCTCCAGTGCTGACGCTTCCATTGCTGTTAAGGTTGTTGTTGTTGTGATTGACGTTGCTGACGTCATATCCTCCACTCCTTTTCAACTCCCTCTTCTTCAGCGGTATTTTAGCCTGTTGGTCGCTCTTTACAGCTCTAGCCACGTTCTCAAACACCAACTCTTTCTTGTCTTCATGCTTCTCTGATTTCACCACCGGGTCGTGTTTGATGGAAGCAGGGGGCATGACGACGGAAATGGCGTTCCATGGTTTGGGACAATCTTTTGGTTCTTCTTTGACGAGAGCTTTGATTGTACTAACCCTGTTGTCGATGACCACTTTGGGTTTGGAAACTTCAGCAACTTTCTCTTCTTGCTCTGGTTTAATGGGATCCATTGGTTCTTTTTTAATGTCTTTAGGTATTAACTCACTTTGATTAGAATTGAAGGTGCTGTTGGTAAAGTCTCCTTGTCCTGATACATGGTTCTTCAAGTCCTCAACTTGAAAATGAAACGATACAGAACTGCATGAGAAACCGTTTAGTTTCAGCCTCTAGCAAAATTATAAGTGGGAGTATGGCTGTCACTACACATTCACAGTTCACAATCGGCCATTGGAAAACCACAGTGGTTGACCACTAGTCTGGATACTGTGGGAGACATGGTCTATGGTGCTTACGGCCCTGAATGGGAATGATTTTCCAATGAGTTTTACCTTTAACACCTTCTGCCTCCATACTTGGGCTGGTGGAACCGTCTTGCTTCTCTTGGTCAGTTGCGATCTTGGCTTTAAGCTGATCTAGTGTGTCTGCAAGATCATTCCTAGTCCTGTTTAAATAAAAATGCATTTCTTATTCTTTGATAAACTTCTACAAATGAGGTTTAACTCTTATACTTCTAGTAAAAATGTGTAGCTCATATACTAGCGTACTAGTGCTGTAATGTTCATCAAAATTCATGGTAAACCCAACACTCTGGTTTTCTCCTCACAATTTGCTCACCTCGCAATGCATTTCCATGAGGACCCATCCAAATCATCCTGTTCCTCAGAATAAACACGTATATTCTGATCTTGGTCTAACTGGAACCAGTAGAGAAGACCTTCCTGGTCTCTGCCGATGGGCTGTAGACGCATCTTATCCGGGTCTTCCTCGTTGATTAATGTCTTAAACTTGAGATTGTCATCAAACTGGCACTCGCACAAGTACTGTTAGGGAAATAAAGAATTAGGGCGAATCTCGAAACAAAAACATTATTATTTTTTATTTATTTTGGTTTTGGAGGTGAAATATGACCCGGACATGTTCTTGACAGCACAGAAAATAAGTTGCTTTGGAAATACTGACCTTTAAAATGCCAGTCTTACACGCTACTGTCATTTCTAGGTAGCTTTTTCTCTCCATTTCCCATGCCCAGGTGCTGTTAAATTCCTGGCACACCTGCATCAACATGATTTCAACAAACAGATGCATTTGCATGGACATTTCCATATTCATAGCAAATGATTTAAAACTAAAACACTTACCTTTACAAGATACTTCTCCCA